CTACAACCGGAAACTCTACACTAATTGACAACACTTGAACCAGCAGTCAACAAATTCGTGAAGTAATATAATTTCTTGGTGTTGGACCTTATGACATTTAGCAACATACTTTACTATCCATCACAGCATGTACCGTTACTTCCAGGCGTCTTATGGATAACACACATCCCGCCATATGGATTATAGAAGTATCAGAAATTCTTCACGAAGTTCAATGGGTCCGGATTGTTAAATCGAAGTACGATGTACTTCATAATGCCCCATCTGCTTTTGCAATGTATTTTGACTTTCTCGGACAACTGATAATTTTCACAGACAACTATGTCTTCCATCAAGTTCACAACGATTATTTGTACTGAGAATTTTTTCCGTAACTAGACATGTACTAAATGAAGCGAGTGTTATTCTAATTTTAGTGACTGCTCTCTGAGAGAAACTCATTTAAAATGAATCAGCTGAATGATTGACATGTGCGAGACATCTTTTAAATGGATGATCACAAATACATTAGCTGAATCCTAGTAATATCAATAACTTTTCATCAACAGTAATTCTTTTAGAATATGTTTGTTATGTGAGAAAGGATTCGGAAGAAAAAGTGTAAACAACAAAGCTGTACATTAGTGTGTTAAACAAAATACCAAGTAAAGAATTAGTCTAGGGTATTTCAGTTCTTCTCACTGTTAAATAGTAATGCACTCATTCAAAATAATCGGAAAAGTATCTAGTATTCACATATTCCGAAACCCTAATCCATATTTGTGCACGTCTATTATGACCCATAGTGAAAGGGTAGATTCAGATTAAAACGAAATAGGATGAATAATTTTTTCAAGCTAACGATACTGTAGTTTTATTTCTAACAGCAAGAACTATAAAAGAATGATACTTGATATTGAGCGGTTATAGTGAAGTTAATTTAGATTATAGTCGTAATAAACTACTTTATTTTATCCTTTAATATGAAAATACTCTTCTAATAGTTCCACCCACTACTGAAATAAAACGTTTTGTTCGAAGTTGATATTAGAAACCAATCATATTTAAAGTATTCTATACTTATAAAAAAATGTATTCAATATCTTTGTGAAATAATTTCACATTTTTACTGCGTGGGTTACCAAATCTAAGTTTATAAGAAGTAGCCATATATAAGTTTCAAGACACATATTTTGGAAATGAACTTAGTTTATTTATTAATAGTCATTCTAACGAATCAGTGAAAAGGTTAAATGGAATTTGTTTATGTTAACATTTCATTTTCAATGAAATGTTGTACCTGAATTGAGCGCAATAATTATTTACTGTTTTTTTTCCCCTTCCCCCCTCTAACATTGTATGTAGTAATATAATATGTTGAGTAACCTGAGGATGACCTTCACTGTTACTATCATTAAAGAATGTGGAATGTGAATAATATATATTTGTATTCAGATGCTTATTAAACGCATTCGTCTACAATATTTTTTTTAATGTGGATTAACACTAAAGGTCACTCTAAGGGAAACATCCTGTTTATTGCTTTTTCTTCTAACTTGTGAAAACGTTTCACCTATTTGTTTATGTAATCATAAGTAAGTTTGTAAACGAAAAAAATATAAGTAGAACTGTGTAGATGCATAGATTGATGATTAAATAATAAGTCGACCATATGTATATATCATGCTTAAAAATATTCCATGTGAATATAAAATAATTAATGGGCAACAAGCAAACAAAATATATGGTGTATATACGGGGACTGTTAGTTATTGAATCAACATAATTATATATTTCTTTTTTTTATTTGTATCCAATAGTTTAATTTCTATTCCATTGTTGATTAATCGAATGAACTTCATTCACCTCCATGAATGCTATGAATTGATTATTTGGCAATTGTTTGTGATTTTATAACGTTATTGAAACATGGAAATTTAGATGGTGGTTGGAGGTAGTCAACAGGAAACCCTGGACCCGGGTTTTGTGTTACTTGGCACTCATCAGCAAGGTGTACCTGTAATCTTGAGGGAACTGGTGCTCCCTGGCGGATTCGACCTCGTGTCACCCAGCTTCACAGTCAGAGACGTTACCACTGAGCTATCCTGTCGACTACCTCCAACCACCATCTAAATCTCAATACATAGTGCCCACAGTGTCGAGTCACTTAGACTTGTGGCCACATTGCAACATGATCGATAGCATTCGATCTGCACTAATAAGGACTAGACACGCATGACATTGTTCACCAGCCAGTGATCAATCAATTGTGAAACATGGAAATTTTAATAAATGTTATCGAATTTACTATCATTTATTGCATTATAATCAGAGAGGGGTTTTGTGGATATTATAGTAAGTTAATAGATGAATTCATGAATCAATTGAAGCCAGACCATCATGGAAAACCTGAAAGCACTGGAAGGCCGTTGGATACCGGCTAAGTGGTGTAGAGGTTAAACGTTCGCGCGTGAGAGTGATAATTCCTGGGTTCGAATCTCGCAGGACTGGATCTGAGAAGTCCCACAGTAGAACGAAACGGCCATCCAGTGCTTCTAGGTTTTCCATGTCGGTCTACTTTTAGTTGACTTATGAATTCATCTATTAAATTTACTGTATTGTTTCAAGATGGGTATTTTATAATCAAACTTAAAATGTAACTTGAGTTGATAATTATACAGTGAATAGTTTTCATTTGTTGAAAATAACGTGTCTTATAGATGGAGTTTTTGTTAAGTTGTAAATATCACTCTTAACGAGGAAGATATTCCTCCACTTAGTATTCTTCTTATTCAATCTCTTTATTACCTTATATGAAATTAATTCTTTCAAAAGTGATGGTCTGTTAAATATTCTTTGTTGGTTCAATAATTCCAAGCGAAAGACTTAAGGTTATGTATTTTGAAAGTTATATGGCCAGACAAACATATTTTAAATAGTAATGTTGCTGTAAAATTGTGACTAGTGGTAAAGTCTAGTACCTATCACATCAAAAGTCAATGGATAATTCAAAAAGCTGATCAGTCCTAATAAGCAGATATTCATCCTTGCTATTTAGTTTTAGCTATAGTTTCCAGCTAATAGATTCTAAATAGGATGAAATTCCTGTCTTGGATTGTAAGACACAATCTATCTGATATCACTCACATTCTTTAACATTCTGTAACCGTCATAGTCCAGTAGACTAGTCATCCCCATAGAGCTTCAAAAGATAGTTATCTGATTGTAGAGCTTTGTATTTTGTATTTAAATCATTGAGGTAGAATCATTTTTCATAAGACTGCTGATATACCTTGTTGATAAATAGGAGCTAGTTGGAGAATAAGATCCACACTTTTCTGTCGATTACCGTCTAATATCTCATAGTTGATACACACCAATGACTAGTAACCATATTAGAAAGTAACACGATTAACTTTTTTTAGTTTCTTGAATCTCAAATAATACAAAAAAGCAAACAGTGCACATAATTCTCGATGTTGACTACTTTGACTACCAAACACTAGTCAGTGATTACGTTTGGCATAACAGTTAAATAAATCTCTTTACTGATTGAAAACCAAGTAATCAATGGCACAAAACTATATGTGACTTGTTGTTAATAGTAAAAAGATGTTTATTATTTTCACAAGTAATAGACAATATGTTATGTGAACGCGAAATCCCCAGATCTTATAAATGATTATGTTCATCAGTTATACTATAGTTATAAATTTGACTTACATTTTAATAATCTTCTATCATTGTAGACTTAGACTAAATTTTAGACGTGCTTAACGAATTTTGTGACCATAAAATTAAAATAATTGGGTAAATCATTTTTATCGTTAGTTAATTAAAAGCATAAAATTTAATTGCTTGTCTTAGTACTTCAATTACATCTATAGTATGTTTATTTATCAAGGTAATACAACACAATAAACTAAACTGAACCTTAAAGATTTACAGTAAATTTCTTTAGTCCTGATTAAAATTGAGACTGAAAGCTTTAATGATTAAAGTGTATTTAAAATTTAACTTATTGACATAGCTCAATCACTGAATATGTATTGCCAGAATCTTAGTCCCTCAGTAATTCAAGTAAACTTTCAAGAGCAATTTGTCTAACCCTAAGAATTTTCATCTCCATGAATTTGTATTCGGTAAAGAAACGTTGGTCGTATGATGTTAGAACAAAGGGAAAATTCCAGATAAATTCAGCTGATGAGTCTTAAATTTGACAAAACGTGCATCCTTAATTCCACTGTTAGCCACTACCTAACTAGGCTTATAATGCTTATAACAACATTGAGGCCATTTGAACAGAATACACATATACAAAACAGACTGATAGATTTCAGTTCTACGCACCAATGAGAAGTTTCGAACGATCAATACAAATCAATTAGAAACAAACGTTTGTTTTGTTCTGTTGCACATTCAAAAACAGTTAAGTGTTTTTGCTTTTCTTAAAATATCAAATAATTTTGTAAAATGGCGTTCACAAACAAAACTCAGATAATCTATTTAACATTAGTCGATTAGTCTTACTGAAATAATATTGTGGTGTATGCTACCAATGTCAATGGATATAAGTAGTATGTTACACTAATCGAAAGTGAAAACTTCGGTAGCATAAGGCTAAGAAAATCAAATTGAAGAGAAAACAAAAACGAAATTAGAAAACAATAGTGAATCGGAAGAATCATACAGAATATGAAAGACAAATGATGGAAATTCGCAAATGAATTATTTAGTGTATAGTTCGTATATTTTACCAAGATACTCTGTAATTCTGTATGTTAGTATGTAATGGTTGTCCACCACCTGTGTTTTCATTCCTTACAATATCAGTTGAAAAAAATGTTCTACAACCAATTTCATTGCTTGTTGAAGTTAAAATTCATAAATAATTTAACACTTACCATTACTATCAGTTTGCACCATAATTTCTGCTGCAATCCCTATGCCATATTTTGTACGAGCAGCTAAAGAAATGTGATAAGTTGAATTTGGAATTAAATTTTCCATTAAATATTCAGTTAAATCAGCTGACAACTTGACCTCCATAGGTTGTTGTTGTTGTTTACTTTATCGATATTCATGTCAACAGCTAAACGATATTTCAATAAATAATCTTGTAAACTAATCTTTCCAGGTAAATTAGGTGCTATCCAATTAAGATGTATTTCTTTTGGATTAAAGCTTAAACCGGTAAATTCACGAGGTTGGGAAGGAACTGATTTAGCATTAATTTAAGGCAATAATTGAAAAAAAAATAAAAAAATAAACATGTTAACAAGTAACAAATACAATACTAATATTTATTATAAACATTTTATGTTATTGTTATGCTTAGAAACATAATAACCTATTGAATTGAATAGATTTGTATATTCTATAATGTAGTTTGTACATGTTAACCTTTCTCAATTAATTGTTATTTCTGATTCATTTCAAACAAATTCAATGATTTGATGATGGTTTCATACTTTCTAATCAGTTCATATAATGTGAAATAATCTATTACACAATGTAAGTTTAACTGCTACAAAAAAGATCATTTATAGAATGTGTGGCTGTTAATTCATAGAAAATATAAGGAGAAAGAAATGACCAATTGATTATGATTCAAAAGGTTTGACAGGGGAAAATTAGTGGTGTAATAAAAGTTTTCCTTAGGTTACATCGATCAGAGTTGTTTTTAAACTATTGCATGCATATCATAGGGAAAACGATTGATCAATATAGAGGTTAGAGATTGGGGTATTAAGAAAAAAGTTGTGAATCATTGATTGAGTGAATTGAAACTTATTTAACGTGTGTTTAATTACAAACCACTTCAAAATACAATATTGTTTGGAGTAGGAATAGGTTAGGAAATAAGCAGATAATGCTTAACGAAGATGTTGCTTCAGTTCGTTAAATCATTGGCCCTCAAACTGAGTTGTTTCATTAGATAGAGACTGCCCCACAGATCCTTAAAGTGATCAAAATCAGTTATTTCAAGAGTTGGGTGACATAACTTAAAACGTCTCAATCCTTAATCTTACTCTGGATATTTACTTCCACTATTCCTCCGTATGTACCTGTTTTTCATTTTTTTTCTCGGTTTTCAATCTTTGCAACTGTCTTTGACTGATTTTTTTAATAAACTTTGAAATTTTCTCTCGTTATGCCTAGTATGGTGTAAGAAATCAGGTAGATGCACATTCGTGTTAATGCCTTCGTTGCTCATAATTTGTTTTAGTCATTTATTCTATAAAGATAACTATACGATTCATTCATAATAGAGTTATGAAAAATATATCAACTCATGAAAGTTTTAGAATGATGTTAGTCATAAGAATAGTTGAAGCAATATCTGATCTCATACACATATTTTCCTCTATTATCTTAGCCAGAGCAAGAAAAAAGATTGCTGCAGAATAATATAAGTTCATCTTATAATTGTTAAGTTCTCATCAGCTGCTTTCAACCTAAAATATTTTTGAAAATCAACGTTATTACAGATATTGCCATACCTATACATACGAGGGTGATTAAAGATGAATATATGTATCATGATGTAGTGAAGATTCCAATAGAGTTAATGAAGTCATAAAAATTTTGTTTCGAATAAATAAAGTTTGGTAGGGAAATTTCCAGAACATTGAAATAGTGATGGTCTAATTTCAATTAAATCATGATCTCAACTATTGAAATAGTCTATTTCTTCATTTAAAATCGAATTAAAACTGGTTAATGTAAAGTAAATTAGAATAAATAACCAGAAAAATATTTATAATAAAAAAAATAAATGAAAAAAGAAAAATTGTTTCTCTTTTTTCTTTTTCTTCTTATTTTGTGACTGATTAACTTTCTTTTGTAAATCGAATAAAAGAAATGAAGTGAAAAAAAGAAAAAAAAAACTCCATCGAAAATGTTTGTCTTAATTTTTTTTTTAATTTTGCTTTTCTTTCTCCTTTTTTTCATAGAAACAAATTGTTTGTTTAAATCTAGAAAAAGTCGACTTGACGTACTCCGATTAGTTTTGCATTTTGTTTTTTATCAGAAACTTGATTTTTATAAGGTAAAAAGAAAATGAAAGTAAAAACAATTTAATTAATGATCTTTAACTAATTCTTATACATTGGTGATGAGAAGCTTTGATGGATCAAGAAAATCTATATTGTCATTATGATCAAAGAGGATTTGATTTTGGTTGAGACCATGAACCGATTGATGTTAAACCACCTTTGGAAACTTGGAAGCACTGGACGGCCGTTTCATCTTATTGTTTGGACTCCTCAGCGGTGCGCATGCACGATACCGCACGCGGGATTCGAACCCAGGCCCTTCAATCTCGCGCGCGAACTGTTAACCTACTGGACCACTGAGCCGGCATCCAATGGTGATAGTGTCTAACATCAACCAATCCACGAAATTGCGCGACCAACTTCCACTGTACTGAGGTAGGTACCTGTCTCTACCCAACACTGATTAGCTCCACTGGTCACGGCGAAACGACGTCCAGTGCTTCCAGGTTTCCAAAGGTGGGCTAACATCAATTGGTTCATGATCTCAATCAAAAACTTAATAATCTCCACGACTCCTATACTAGTAGGATTTTTTTTGTGATAAGGTCACGGATGCTCACTGCTGATTAATTTCCAACAAAGTTAAAATATCTATTTATAAATGCTTGGTTTCAGTTATTCATTAACTGAAGTCATTCATTGATGAAAACATTCTCAGCATTAAAATAATCACCTCAGTTATCAAAATATTCACTACTGATTAAACTTTAGGTAAACTATAGAATTTATGATAAATCTTCTTCAACCAACTCAGGTTTGAGCCATAGTCCTGTAGATGGTACTATATCAGAAGTACATTTAAGTTGTGAGCGTGAAAATCAGGATTTTGTCTGAGTACTGATAAGATCATCTCAAAATATCAAAATAATGTATGTTAATCAATAATTCTCAGAATGGCTATCAGACAAATCAAGAGTGGCAAAGCAGCAGGACCAGACAACATCCCAGCAGAGGCACTGAAAGCAGACGTAGCGGCAACTGCAAGGATACTCCACATTCTCTTCAATAAGATTTGGGATGAGGAACAAGTACCAACAGACTGGAAAGAAGGACTTCTGGTCAAAATACCGAAGAAAGGCGATCTCAGCAACTGTGATAACTACAGGGGCATCACTCTTCTCTCAATACCGGGAAAAGTCTTCAACAGGGTATTGTTAAACAGGATGAAGGACTGCGTAGACGCCCAACTTCGTGACCAACAGGCAGGATTCCGTAAGGATAGATCGTGTACAGACCAAATCGCAATTCTACGGATCATTGTGGAACAATCAATTGAATGGAATTCATCACTCTACATCAACTTCATTGACTACGAAAAGGCATTTGATAGCGTGGACAGAACAACACTATGGAAACTTCTTCGACACTACGGAGTGCCTCAGAAGATAGTCAATATCATACAGAACTCATATGATGGATTACACTGCAAAATTTGCATGGAGGACAGTTGACAAAGTCGTTCGAAGTGAAGACCGGTGTCAGGCAAGGTTGCTTACTCTCACCCTTTCTCTTTCTCCTGGTGATCGACTGGATCATGAAGACGTCAACATCTGAAGGGAAACACGGGATACAATGGACATCTAGGATGCAGTTGGAAGATCTGGACTTCGCAGATGATCTGGCCCTTCTATCCCAAACGCAACAACAGATGCAGGAGAAGACGACCAGTGTGGCAGCAGCCTCAGCAGCAGTAGGTCTCAATATACACAAAGGGAAAAGCAGGATTCTCCGATACAACACAGAATGCACCAATCCAATCACAATTGACAGAGAAGATTTGGAAGATGTAAAAACCTTTACATATTTGGGCAGAATCATTGATGAACAGGGTGGGTCTGATGCAGATGTGAAGGCACGGATCGGCAAAGCAAGAGCAGCATATTTACAACTGAGGAACATCTGGTACTCAAAGCAACTGTCAACCAACACCAAGGTCAGGATTTTCAATACAAATGTCAAAACAGTTCTACCGTCTACTGGAGTGGAAACCTGGAGAACTACGAAAGTCATCATCCAGAAAATACAGGTGTTTATTAACAGTTGTCTACGCAAAATACTTCAGATCCGTTGGCCGGACACTATTAGCAACAACGTACTGTGGGAGAGAACAAACCAGATCCCAGCGGAGGAAGAAATTAGGAAGAAGCTCTGGAAGTGGATAGGACATACATTGAGGAAAGCACCCAACTGTGTCACAAGACAAGCCTTCACATGGAATCCTCAAGGCCAAAGGAAAAGAGGAAGATCAAAGAGATAGACATGAGAAGAATGAACAAGAATTGGATGGAATTAGAAAAGGCTCAGGACAGAGTAGGTTGGAGAATGCTGGCCGACGGCCTAAGCTCGATTAGGAGTAACAGGCATAAGTAAGTAAGTAGGTAATCAATAATTCATAAACTGATGTACATAAAGAAAATAACGACCGAAATTGAAGTAATCTTCTTAACTAATCAAATAAATACGCTATAAATTCATCTGATATCTATCATATTGGGTCATCAATATTTTATTTAATAATAGTTGTTTAACAAGTGTTTATTTCATTGAGTATGGATTAAATTAGAATGCTTGAAGACTAGTTGAAAGTATTCTTTACTTTCAAAACAATGCAGAGATTGACCCCAACAGGGATGATTTCTGGTTTTTATTGTTTCTTTAGTAACTTATTACTACTAGAATCGTATTAGATCTTCAATTAAATGATTCATAAATGAAGAGAAAATGATAGTTTTTATATGCATCAACTAAGAATTCATAGATTGCAACCCAGCTATTCCTATTGCTTGGTAATCTTGGACACTAATTCATTCGACAAGTCCCCAAATCGGGACACGGTTGAACAGGAAAGAAATCATATTCCAAATAACAAGGGTAGGTGGAAATAAGAAGCACAATAAGAAAAGCATTAACATACGTATAGTTTTTACATGAGAAAACTCTCGTGTTCTCCAAGTATCGGCTAGCGCTGATTGGGTAAGAATTAGCCAATCAGCGTGCAGCAACGCAATTATGCATGGAGCACGCTTCAGTCCAATCTATGTCACGCTAACACAAACTCTACAGCTAAAATATTTGATCTAGAATTTATTTGAATCGATCATAAAGTGGGATCAATCTTATGACATCAGTTAAAGTTAGTGAAAAGAAGTGAATCTATCAGCTTTCACTATGAGACACCATGGTAACCAATCGATTTTCAAAAAGAATTAAGTATACAATTTACACTGACTAATCAATGTTATAATTCTCGCCTTTGAGAAATAATCCAATTCTGGAACTCACGTTGTAATATCATCAAGTTTCCAATTGTACTGGGATCACCATCTTCCCTAGTATTGTAGTTAGGTATTAGTAAAGCGTACCAACTATTACGAAAAGCTAGCTCTTGATCGTCATTAACCCCCTTACATTTAATACTTAACAACTGAACTGTATACTGCATTTTACCTATTCCATTGCAAATGAAAGTGCGAAACAAGCCTACAAACGGCAAACTCACAATATTTCGCAAATAACCGTAGTCAACATGGTAACGGTATCGATCATTGGTTTCGAAATTATTCAGTGTGAGTAAAAGAATGTCATGTAAGTCCTGGAATGTAGACAGTCAATATATTTAAATGATAACCTTTTTTCTTTATTGTTATTGGTATGCAAAAGTTTATGGACTTCTTATCCCGTAATTTATCATCATCAAATCCTTGAAATCAAGAAATAATATTACATCGTTAACGCTTGAATGAATTACGCAAGGTTACATCAGAAGAAAAGATACAGTTAACGTCCTATTACTCATAGTTTTAAATTCGGCAGTCTGTGAATTTAAATTAGTTCATAACTTATTCTCTGATAAAAATTGTTTTCATAGCAAAAAATGACTGATCATTTCCTGTTTGCTAAAATACCAGATTTTATATTTACCGACCTTTTTTATTTTGGAAATAAAATCCATACTACTAATAAGTAACTAATGTGAACTGGTAAAAATATCAGTTGTTTATATTTATATTATTTGTAAACTTTATGGGTCTAAAAAATGAACTTACTTCCAAACTTAACTAATACTTCGTATGGATCAGTCAAAGGACCATCACCAGCTGAATTCTGGGCGCTCACGCGAATATGATAAGTTTCAGATGTGAACAATTTTTCTAGTTTGACACTTTCAAATTGTGTACCAACTTTTTGCCAGTGATCTAATGGAGCTTGTGGATTTCTGTTGTAGAAAACATTATAACCCTGTAACAAAAAATCAAGTCATTAAACTTACCGTTGCATCTATAAAGTAATCAACGAGTGTTGAATAATTCGAATGAAAGGGAAATAAAATTAGCAAGACTTTTTCTAGACAAACTGGAAAATGGAACGTTGAAAAACATTCTAAATAACCTAGATTATTACTGTCGATACATGAACGACACACTAATCGTTTGTGACAAACGTATCGATAAACAAGCTGTTGAACGGCTTCAATAACGTTTATTCAGCTAATAAATTCACCAGCTCAGAGGAGAACGAAAATAGTTTAGCTTTCCTTGATGTCTTACTTTCTAGAACGACAGACGGTTCCATTAAAAGAAATGTATTTAGAAAGAATACATGGATAGATCAGTGTACGTAATTTCATAGCTTTACATCTTTTCAATACAAAATACGTTTGGTTAAATGTTTCAATCACAGAATCAAACTATTATGTCCTGAGGATAGTGTAGATAACAAAACAGATAAACTAATGAACATATTATGAACTAACGGCTATCCAGAAAATTTCATCAGGAGATTTCTACTTGAAGGTAAAAGAAGAAAACACTCTGACACGGTCAGTAAAAAAAACTTTTTATCTCAAACTCGATAGAGGGCGTAACATTTCAACACGTTGACGCAAAAGATCTGTTGAAAAGACATGTCACGCCTCCAAATTACATGTTGTCTCAACCAAACCAGTACTTACACAAAAATCAAGGATAGGTTACCGATGATGGGCTCCTCTATGTATGTAAACCAATTCAACTGCTTCTGCGGAGCTAATTACATAAGCCGTGCTCAGAGAGCTTTATACTTGTTTACTCATAAACTTGTACCAGCATGTTTGGGAAAAGGAGTCATTAAAACTATTAACAGTGCCATTCTTTCTCACTTGGTTTATAGTAAACATCCTATTAAAATGGATGAAGCTTCCTCTGTTTTGTATCAAGTTTCAAACAATCTACCTCAAGGAGCTACATTATGGCTCCTCTATGTAGCTGAAGTTACCTGGATCAACTCCAGAAAACCGGGCTTATGCATCCAGAAGAGGTACTTCCAGCCTATATGTTTGTTTTGGCCCACATCTCGATCACCAGAGAGCTATACTAGATGTTATAAACCTCTTATCCCTCTGCCAATTCCTTCTTTCTTAATTCACACATTTAACTTTACCAAACCATATGATTTTTTAAAAATCGTAATTACCTTGACAACACCTGTCTTATTACTTTCACACATTATTATTATTATTATTATTATTATTATTATTATTGTTACCTCAATTAGCAAAACGAATTTCTCCTACTATGCATTTTATTCACACAATTTATTATATTACTATTATATTGGTTACAACTTGATACTTTACAACAAATCATTCTGTCCTCTATTAAATGGCCTTTCTAACTTGCAAACTGCACAATTTTGAAGTATTTATGTCGTAACAGATACAAACGTTCACTATTTTTAACATACAACACTGTCAAATACATGAATGCATGCCTTGTTATGGCCTCTGTCAAATATCACAATAATTATGGACTTATAACTGTAAAGCCTGATAATGAAGTGATTCAAAAACAATGATTAGTTCAAATATCCAATGTTTTTGAATACTCTATGGGGAGTTTTAAAATGCTCAAATTATGGTCATTAAATCTACTGAACAGTCACCTTGAATATTTAGTATTATTAATTTTTATATTGTGTTCAATATAGCACAGGATAAGTCACAAAATTGCATAGATTGTTAGTAGACTTTTATAATAACCATCAGTAATAATGTTTGTGATCATGGAAATAAATAAAAACAAACGAGTCTAAAAGGAATTTATCAGAAGTTACTTATGAATTTGACAACAATATATTAGAGGGGTGAATTTTCATATAAACTTTTAATTTTCAATTTTACTGAATTTTGATTGCTGACAGTATGAAATTTTACTCATTTTGATAGAATGTAACATTGATAAGTATGTCAAACGTAAATGTTTTTTTATCAGAAGGGGTTTTTGTGGATATTATAGTAATTTAATAGTTAATTTCATGAGTCGATTGAAGCTAGAAAACCATGGAAAACCTGGAAGCACTGGATGGACGTTTCGTCCTACTGTGGGACTACTCAGCAGTGTACATCCACTATCCCGCCCCGTATGACTCGAATTCAGGTCCTATAGGTCTCGTCTAACCTCTAAACCACTGAGCCGGCATTCAACGATTTTACTGTTTTTCTTAAGAGTCTAAGTGCATTCAGAGTTCAACAAGTTTTCCAGCGATTCTTTTAAAACACATGATATTTTTTAAAACGATTATAAATAAGATTTTTGTCATGAACATTTAGCTGGAGAGTTATGCAGTCGGAGCACTTTGGTTTGAAAATGAATCCTTAGACGAAATTCAGACACTATAAAAAGTTTGTTACCAAGTATTACATTTCAAGTCATCAATAAGATACTTTTACTCTTTATATGAATGAATTCACCTGTAAATTTTCTAGACTATGGAATAACCTACCACAATCTATCCACACGATAAAATCACTCCCATTATTTGTTCGCTGCATCGATGCATACTGCTCCTCTGAAAATGCATTGAATGGTCTAGCACCTGCAAGTGTATCTCATTCCACAAGTGATATTTTAGGAACTTTAAATGTTTAGCCATCTTTATTAGTGAATCCCCTGAGTAAAACCACCCATTTGCTGTCCATATGTTAACACCGTCTCTAGCAAGTTTAACTAGATTGAATAACATTAACAGTATATCACTGTGTCACATGACACACGCATTTAGGTAGACCTGATTCATATATTTTGGTAATTACTGCTTTGTTTTTTCCGTGCTCTGCGTTTTCGTTTTAATTTCTCTAGTTGTAGATAATTATCATTAATTCGATCTGGCACACGAATTGACCTTAATTACTCCGTTAATAAATCAACAGGCTGTCCATTTAAGAAATATTAAAAGTTCCCGGCTGATGCATTGGATCACTGTAATACATGTACTACCTAAACAATTACTGAACTAGTATACTTAAAACTTTCTTCTATCACATGTTTGTTCTGTACATCTAATGTTCCTCTTTATATCAAATTGATCATGCCTGTAAACTGGCGTGAATTCTGTAATTATTATTTTCAGAATATATAAATTATTATTATATACTGTACAACCGCATATATAAAATCTTAATAGTATAATGAAACTCAAAACAAACATATTCTATAAATATTGAATATTGACAGTATGAAGTGTCAAGTAACAATTTCTATGCATTTTATTTCGAAAAATTACTTCACACCATAGATTTGTTAATAATTAAACATGATAGCTAAAGAGATTTGAATTAAATTATCTTTATATGCTAATGGATAATTTATCATCTGTTCACGCAAAATAATAAGCAGAATAAATAATGCAAACTTGAATTGCTTAAACGAAGAAATATAGTGCTAAGTGTTTTGCATTAATTGACAACAAAATAGTTTATTAAGTAAGCAATAGTAATAGAGTAAATATTGATTGAAAAATTCTTTCTGAAGTCTTCTATTGTGGATAAAATCAATCAGTGGTATTATACATGTCCCGAAAATAAAAAGGATGGATATTTAGGTAGACAACATGACTTATTATTGTTGGATTCTATAACCGTTAGCATAATGGTCACTTTACTCTAAAAAAAATACCATATGAGTAGGTCAACATGGCTCAGGACAGAGTGGGTTGAAGAATGCTGGTCGGTGGCCTTTGTTCCATTGGGAGTAACAGGTGAAAGTAAGTAATGTAATGAGTAGATCGACTAGTTAAGTAAACAGAACACATATTTTCACCATAATGCTTTTATCAACACATCCAAATAACCTAAGATACTGTCTTGATGACCCATGAATTCATATTAAAACTTTCAGATTTAAATCAAATCATCAAAACATTTTCAGGCATTCATCATGAGCAATGTTTTTTTGAATATTTCAGATGTATTATCAAACTACTTGCGAGTAGTTAAATAGAAGCGTAAAATTATCGAAACCATCTCTGAAGAAACCTGATTGTGGCCATCTATCAAGATAAGTATTCTTTCAAGGATAGAACATATATAATAAAATGAAGCAAAGTGCAAACTTCGTAATAACTCTTATAATCTGGTATTACATAACTATGACTAAAATGTGCCAAAAATAATTTCCTGATGTTAAGATTCAGAAAAGCAAGACAAATCATTTCAATGATTTTGAAAACAGTAGTTTTCGAAAATTATATTAATGAAAGTAACATTCAGTAAAGTTTTATCTCTAGTTTATCTTATCAGTCAAATATAATAACATTGGTGATTGTCCTTTTGAATACGACTGCAAACAAAGTTTATAACAGGCAATATTGAGTAGTCTAAAATTTGTTAAGAGACAGGTAATTCATCTCATCTAATGTTCAAATTATAACCAGTGTATATGATTTACCAAGACGTATTTCCTCATGAAAAAATTGCTTTAGCTATTTAAGAAGTTGAGTGAAAAGTTAGCTACATTTTTATGAATTACAAGTATTTATGAATTCGTATCAGTATGGGGATTTGTGGAGTTTGTTGTATTTTCACAGTCGAATCTATGAGTCGATTTGAGTCAAATCACTATTGAAAACCTGGAAGTACTGAACAATGGATGAAGGGTTGTGCAAGATCATGGGTCAATTGATTTCGAACATTGACACAGTCGGATACTGGCCCAGTGATCTAGAGGTTGAGCGTTTGTCCCCGAGACCGAAGGTCCTGTGTTCATATCATGGTTGCTCACTGCTGAGGAGTCCTATATTAGGACGAGTCGGCCTTCCAGGTTTCCAACAATTGTCTAATTAAGATCGATTCGTGAATTCAACTGTGAATCTAGGGATTATTGAAGAAATGACATAATTAATTAATTCAGTAGAATTATGACTTTGGAATTCATGACTCATCTTCACATTGATAGATCACATTTTTGGATTATCACCTTTAAAGCTAAATGTGTTGGATAGAAATAATGTTTATTAAGCAGAAACCAAATGTATTAATACCAATGAGAAATAGCAGAACAGGGAGAAACATTTTTCAGTAACTTGTACTAGTTTTTCTATGTGTCCTACAAGTTCACTTACATAATACGACATTTCATTAGTAGTCGTTAGTATTCATTGAAAAAGCATAAAAACTTATTAACCGGTGACTCCAGAATAACTATAATGCATTAGACAGGGGTTTAAATATTTTTTTAAATTTTGTGTGTACAATTCAATCAAGTTTTTGACCTTTTAAGTTTCCGATAATGGAAGTAGTTAGCATAAATGTTATGTGACCAGTGAAGGTAAGATATGAGTGTCCAGAGAGCGATAACGAACAGGTACTAAGTTCATAGAATATCCTTACATCTTAAAGAGAGAGTTCATAATAATCATACGCAAACTTCATACTGCATGAATGTTCTCTATTTTGTTTCAATAAATTGTGGTTCATATCTAATCTCTGCTTCACGATCGTCCGTCGGACGTTATATATGTGCACACAACTTGATCTAGTTCGGTAATCCAATTATTTAGTGTGTCGGTCGATTACGCAGTCAGGTATAACCTTATGTCATAAAACAAGCAGTAACACTCAAATTATTTTTGCCGTTACAATGATAGTAAATGAGTTTTTCCAACTGATAACACTTTCTGACCCTACTTGTTCGGGAAAAATGGTAAGATCGTTTCTTTGTAGATGCAGCCTAATATTCATAGAATTTTGCTTATCCATGATTAATTCTAGATTCATACATCAACTGGCTTAATAATAACAACAGGTCGTCATCCGGTGGTAGACATTTCCAGATGTTTGTTCTAACAATATTACTCAAGATACTGTTAGCTCAATTTTGTTTCATACTCTTGATTTACAGATCGACTTCATAATAAAGGAGTTACGAAAAAATATAATGAGAGCTTGATTTGGACGTCTCATCACATGAACAGTAATCATGAGGAAGTAGTTGAGTTTACCTATATTTTTCGATAGTGCAATGAGAAGACGTAGGTTATCATTATTTATTACCATGCACAAATATTGTTTCTCTGAACTTAGATCTTCTGTACAATATTATACTTTTTGAATGTAGAAAAGCATTTCGCAAATAGTGAAAAAGAAAATTCAAACCTTGAAGACCTAAATAAAAAATTCAATCAGTATTATTTAGTTATGTGAATACAAGTTCAAGCGTATTGTGTTTATACAAAAAGAATTTGGATTAAAAACTTACAATAATTTTCCCATTCGCTTCTTTTGGTGGCTTCCAACTCACTAAAACTGAATCATCTGTTATGGTAACTGTTTCAACAGAATATGGAGCCGAACTAGGGGCTACAAACGGAATAAAAAAAAACCCGATAATAATTTGTAATACCGATTGAGTAATACAAAAATTTAGTACTGACATAGTACTATTTCTGTTGAAAATTGATTTACTAGCAAATTTATTTTGAAATTAAATGTGACTGAAATTATCTGTGTAGTGGCTTTGCTTCGTTAATCAATCACCTTTGTAACAGTTATTATATAAATTTCAACGGTGTTTGAAATCAGAAGGCAATGAGAAGTGGTAATTACAGTTTATTAGAGGATAGAGCAGATCACAAAGCTATAGGCACATCAAACGTATTTGAAGCTAAGAGGGGAATATGTATATGCGGACAACTACATATACAAATTTATCGTCAAATTACCTAAGGACTCAGCAAGACAAAGCAAAATCTGATAATAGGTTTTGAGTACGTACATACATGGAGAGAAAGATGAATCATCGAATGACATTTAAGCAACCAACATTTAGCTAGGGTCTGTCATGTGATCTAGTGATCGCAACAGTACAAACAGACGAATTGTTGCTGTTCTAACAACATTGTCTGTTATGTAAGTTAATAAAAGGGCTTAACCAAGATTAATAATAATCGAAATCGGTTGTAGAATAATCGCTATACCTAAACCAAACCAAACATTTATTCTGAAGCGGTCAGTATCTAAGTTACATGTACGATATCATATTATGAAAGGGCAAAATTACATTTTTAACTGACTGTGATGCCTGTTCAACATTACTTCCGTTTTTAATTCAATATGACGGTTACTCGATGTAATATTTGTTATATTTCTTCACTATGACATGTTATTCAAGAAATGGTATTCTTTGTATTAAATTATGGTGAACCACCTTCAGCAACTCTGCCTTGACCTCATCTAAGGCTACTCTACCGATCCCAAGCCCGAATAAGGGAGGAGGGATGGGTATCGGATTAGCGGCCCCATCCCGTAGAAAACCAACTTGCGAAAAAGAACGCTAACCAGAAAAAATTAATAATGCTCAGCATGACTTTCAGTATGCGATTTATTATAATTCTAGACATTTTTCGTATACATACTATCGGGGCCCAATTTTTGTCAAACTATTCCTCCTAATATTGACGAATATTCGCGAAAATTTTTCATATATGTTAATTTCTCCTAATTAATAGTCAAAATGGTTGTACAATCAATGTATAAATCAGTGTATTTTTGACTAGGGTCATCATGTATAATTTGAAATCAATAAATGTTCACTTGTACCAATCTTCTGAGTTCTTACTATATGTCATGAGAATTGTATTGGTTGCTCATTCCAAGTATAAGTACTCAACAATGAGTATTAGTAATAAACGATTGACATATATTGTTTTGAAAATAATCTAAGTTTTTCAAATGTCATTTAGTATAAGTGTAGCAGCATAAATTTATAGTTTTAAATATTACAAAATTTAAAAAATATGAAAGCTATGATGGTGATGATGATGATGTAATCAGATACACCATTTTGGTGGTTTACAATTTTGAGAAGGGATAGAATGAAAGTTTTCTGTTCTAATGAAACTTGATCCTACTAATATTTTAATTGGTCAGTATTTTTAAGAACTAAAGTAAAATAAATTAGTACTGTGGTGTATGCTACTTATATTGACATAAGTAGTATATTATGTTAGTCGTAAACAGAAGGTCTGGAAGCAGAGATACAAGAGGATGGAACAGTAAAGAATGGAAACAGTATGAAAATGCAAGAACAATGAAGTCTGAGTCATTTTGAGACAATCGATGGATATTTTGCAAATTAAGCATTTACTTTATGATCATTAGATTTTATTAATAAGTCCTGTAATTTTGTGTTAAGTATATTCGATTGTCCCCATTGGTGTTTTGTTCACTACAGTACATAGTTTGATATTGATTTTTAATTCAATCTGAGCACTTGAAATAATGAATTTTGAGTTAAAGGTCTAATTTCTAGAGATAAATGATTACTAGTGAGAAATTATCCATTCAATTTAAACTCTGTTATAATCAATGTCAAAGAAATGAATGGAATTTGTAGACAACGAGTATGAATCGAGACTAGATTATTCTTGGTTACTTAAACACTATAGCAACAAACAAATAAACATTTCAATAGTTGAGATCATGAGTTAATTGAAGCTAGACTATCATAAAAAACCTGAAAGCACTGGACGACTGTTTCGTCCTATTGTGGGACTCTTCAGTAAACATCTTATAGTAATGTATAGAATATGAGTTTGAATTATTATCTGAATTTGTTATGTAAACCTTTTTTTCCATTATAAAATAACTAACCTCAATATTCACTTTCTATGAAAGATCTAAATGCTTCTTATTCATATTCTAAAGTTTGAGTTGATAAGAAAATGCATAGAATAGCTAGTTTGTAAAATCTTTTAAAAAATACAAAAAAAACACATCCCTACTCAAATGAGTACTGCTTTGCTTATTTGAAAACAAGAATGGATAGCAATTAGTAGGATTGTTATTTATTTTGTTTGTTTTCTTTTTTCGTTTAAAATTAATCAAAGTTAATTTAGTTTGAAATACAAGGAAATTATATAATTGCTCCATTTTTGCTAACAAACTATAGCACGATAATTTCATCTTTATCAATATATATTATTACCATTATGTAAATACGTTGTTATAGTAAGGGAAATAATAAGCACATAATAATACACACCTATACACCTATAAAAACACAATAAAATCACACAATGTCGATTATCACGCTATTTTGATTTGAGTGAATCCTATTTAGAAATTACACGTTATTATTTCCGTCCTTTGTAATTTTTATACTTCAATTATAATTTCAATTACAATCACTAATACTATTATTATTATTGTGTGAATGAAGTTTAATGAGTAATTTTAAGGCTATTTCCCATTATTGTAATTAAAAATGGTGAAAAATTTCCAGTATTATCATCTTACCTTTCTTTTTAATGTTGTTATTCCAAGTCAATCATATATTAATTTATTCAAAACCAGTCTAGAAATGTATTCTATTACATATAAGTAATGTCACCTCAACACATAAATCCATTGACATATATATATATATATATATATATATATATATATATATATATATATAGGCATACAAAACCACATTGCTTCTATATTTCTATCTATCTACATATATTTTCCTTCATTTATTAGATTGTATGGTCCACGTTATATATAAGAATGTATATATACAAGAGAGGAAGCATGAAATATAAGTTAGCATTTCATTCTATTAAATTTCTATTCATAGTTCCTATATGAACATACACATAATCACATAGTTGTAATCACGTATCTAATACAATTTTCTTTGTTTTTCTTTTTTTTTGTTCTTTCTTGTCATAATTTACAAGTTCAGACATACTTAAAAGTGAAGTAGTAAATTCCTTTCTTTATTCTTTTTTTTCCTTTCTTTGCCTAAATTTTCTTATCATAACACTGATAGTATATATTTTGTTTTTAATTTCTATGAGCACTTTTTAATGAAAAGATACAAGTTTATATAAACCGGTAATAATTAAGTGTTATAATTACATTAATAACCGAGTATTGTAAATGAATGTTATGTAAGTAGAAAAAACAATAATAATAATAACTTCTTAAGGTGTTAATAGGAAGATACAAATAATGAAATGTGTTCATCACTGACAACCATTCATAATAGTCATGTTTTAACATAAAATGATTCAAGTTGGAAATGTGAACAAATCAATTCCTCTTCACTGATTGAGTTGTCAAAGATGAATCCTAATAATTTGAAGTTTTATTTAGATGTCTCTTGATTGATCAATCGTTAGGATTTACAAGGTTTCCCAGTATTTAGCGATTTACTAATTGAATGTACTCGGAAAATTGAATGAATTCCTATAGCTAAGCAACTAAGTTAAAAATGAAATGATTTTATACCACAGATTTTATTCAGGTTTAAATGGTGTTGTTGGGATATTCAGAAAAATATCCCAAAAATTATCCTTTTATGTCTAATGCTATCCTTTGCCTTGAAATGGTATCATTTTCCTATTGGTCAATATTTATTTCACGTGTCATTTTCCTGTTGGCTAAATATTGTACAAATGTTATTTCCTATTTTATGGTACGCTGTGGTTTGCTTGATTGGTATATAAACAGAGTATGTTTGAAATACATGATTCATATTGCAGAGGCTGAAACTTGTGTTCTGGACTTAACCGGCTGGGCTAGGCGGAAAGCAGGACCAATCAGAACTTTGGGTTGCTCATACGGTTTACGTGTCATTGTCCCCATCGATAAGTCACTGCTCTCTAATCGGCGGTCATAAGTTATAACAGGTGTATACATACAAGTTAAGAATTATGAATTATATTTATACTTTCAGTTGTTGCAATATTGAATTGTAAGAACCTTAGAAAATATAAATTAAAATATAAATAATTAGTGTATCTTAACAGAATTAAAAGTAATTTATTGAACAGTACATTATGAGATTGAAAATTAATCTAAATAAATTATTCACTTGTAAGAAAAAAAAAGGAGACATGATATTGATTTTAACTCCTTGAGATGTATTTCAATTGCAATTCGAATAGTTAGAAAGAAACACATTTACGTAAATCAATGCCTTATGTTGAATGTCCAATATAACCAATTAATGTTGTTTTTAAGTATTAACATATCACTAATTAGCTGTATTTATGTACATTACATAATACTTGGTGAAAGTTTTATTCCAAGCTTAAACAGTAGGTTTGGACTTGGTATCAGATATTGATTTTTGAAAGAAAAATACTCGTTGCATTCAGTACTTAAAATAAAAATACACTTTATTAGATCTGAATCAATCAAAATTTGTACTAAAAAAATGCTTTAAATTACTGAGTGATACGATGGATGGTAAACCTTGAAAACTACTGATTATATTATAAGCAATGATGGATAGTGGCTAGCAGTGGAATCCAGGACGCGTGTTTCGTCCAATTTGAGACTCGTCATCTGGATGTACCTGCATCTCA